ATCTAGATTTAGCAAAGTGCGACGTCATCACTCTTTCTAACGTCATGTAAAGTGTAGTACTTGTAAACGTTCAGAGATGGCACTATCAATACTTAATTACTTTATTTTGCAATAGATGGCGCTATCACCGTGTTTAAAATTGTAAAAGAATTGATCGTTTATCATTTTTACTCGATAAATACACTTCCGGACACCTAAATAGAGCCACCTTGTTTTTTTTTTCGTTTGGGGTACTGTATCTTGTAAAAAATCTATGTAGAAGGAAAATGTTTTGATGCAGTTTTGGAGCTGGTTTAATCAACATTCATTTAGAGTGCCACTGTTCTAAATAGAATAATATTAGAAGAATGAATGAATGAATGTTTAAAACCCGGAAAAACATGTTTGTTAGCAACATAGTTTTTCTAAGGTAAAGATTTATATAGGTCAAAACTTTACAGTGTAAAATATTCACAGATCATTTATTTCCCTCGGGATTTAAACATTGCAGTGAGTTGTCCCATGACATAGGAAACGAGGTCAACAGGGCAAAGAATGAATTTTATTTCTATCAGTTAAATGAACTGTTATGTTTTAGGAACACAACTTCGTGGAGACACGATAGGAGTTCTAAACGAGGTTCAATATCTGACAGGGACAAATTATCGGACAGGAACGAAATCTGCTATGTTAAATTCTGTTCTGTTAAATACTATAATAGAATTAACATAGCAACAAAAGTGACGTGCTTACAATGCCATGACAATTCACAAAGCCATATAGTGAGAGTAGAGAGTAGATATTTGTCACCTACCCTACCCTTGCGGGTATCTTGAGAGCCAACTAACTAACGGCCATTTTCTATAACCTATCTATCTGTAGATTTGCTAACTGAGATGGAATTTTGACACAAGCTCCATACAAAATGTGTCAAAATTATAGAAAATGGCCGTTTTAATTACATACTTATTTATTAGAGATTAAGGAGCTATCTGATTTTTTTTATATTTAATGGGTCGACATTTGACCACTATCTCCCTGCCTGGTGGTACGTAATGATGAGGTCTACATTGGAGAACGTCTACCAGCAACCTATTCACTCGGACCTTGAAGACACCCAAGTTAAACCCTTCAGGAAACACAAACTCTGGCAAACAACTCCACTCCTTAGCAGTACGCACAAGGAAGCTTGAAGTGCTTCGTGCGTGTGGGTGCGACATCTACCATGAATCGGTGACGGTTCACCTATTGTCTTGTGGTACGATGATGGAAAAATCCTAAACCTTTTAAACTACAACCTTCAACCTATGTGTTAATCGAGGATATTATGACATGACATGATACATTAAGTGTGGAAGAGCCATGCTTCGGCACGAATAGGCCGGCTCGACCGGAGTGATACCACGGCCTCACAGAAAACCGACGTGAAGCAACGCTTGCGTTATATTTCGTCGTGTGAGTGAGGTTACCGGAGGCCCAATTACCCTCCCCTTCCCCAATCTCCCCAATCCCTGAATCCCCAACGATCCTCAAACTTCTGATAGGGTTCATTAATATTATGGTTTAATCTAATTATTTAATCTGTATTTTTATTGTGTAATAGAACTTCTTTGTGATTGACCATAAACAAACCTACAAAAATGAAACGGACTTGGATTCTCGAAATGTCAACTGACGACTTCGAGAACGCGGGTTTTAAAAAAAATAGAACGGGCTTGAATTCTCGAAACGTCATTTGACGATTTCGAGAAGTTGGTCGGAAAAGGCGGGAAAACGAAGAGGATTTTGAACGGATGGCCCGGGATGGCGTCATTCTGTTGGCGGCACAATTGTCGAGAGGATATGTAATCTTTGTTTTATTCGTTCTAAATGTTTTTTGAAGGATAATAATATTCTGTAATGACGATATTAAGTGGTTTCCTTTATACTATCCTTTTCTGGATTTCATAAACTGCAAGTTGTTGATGCAACGCCTCGGTGACTCTTATACTTCTAATCCTCAAAAGGCCGGTAACGCACTTGTAATGCCTCTGGTGTTACAGGTGCCCATGGGCGACGCCGATTGCTTACCATCAGGTGATCCGTCTGCTCGTTTACCGGCTTATGCCATAAAAAAACCCTCATTAGCAGAGTAGGTGCATAATCTAGAAGTAGATAGGCCATAACTGTTGTCACAACTGGCGAAAATAGCAGCACTTAAACTCCACTTTCCTAACAATACCAAGCTTAATATTAAATTCTATAATGAGACCAAACTAGTTAAACCGCTCGTTACCAAGCTTACCAAACCATGAAGATAATTAAAAAGTATAGTTTAAAAGAACAACTTACTAAGTGCTTGCAAAGATTAAAGATAAAAGACAAAACTCTATCGTTAACTCTTTTAGCTCATTTGGAACTTCCAAAGAAAAGAAGGATGGGGGATGGTACCTACTTTTAACATAGCATTAAACGCATAGATGCTTATAACAATATTTCTGTGATAAAACATAACATAACATCACGTCTTTTAACCCCGAAGGGGTTTTTTTTTTAAGGGGGGAAAATCATCGAATGACTGCTCCCGCCTGGGTGAGGCGGGAGGGAGTGTCAGACTCTTACTGACTAAAAACCACCCCGTTCCTTCTCCTGCACGTCGAGCCGGAGCCTCGGTTACTCGTTAGGTTCTCCGCGACTCCGAATCGGCATCGGCCCTATTGGGCCCCATCTGATCCCCGAAGGGGTAGGCAGAGGTGCACATTACGACGACACTGTACAATGTAACGCCCACTTTTCACTATTTATGTTATGAGTTCCATGTACCGGGCACATTTCCAGACTCCGTGCTACTACTGAGATTTTTAAAAAAACCTTGTAATACTTTGCCCGACCCGGTAATCGAACCCGAGACCCATTACTCGGCCAACGAAGCAGTCATGCTAATGAAATATAACACCTAATAACCTACACACAAGGCACAGGAATCTTTATTAGGTATAACACTACTTACAACATTTCTAATCATGCCATTATATTGTTAGTTAGTTGCCTATCAAGAAAAACTTAACCTTGAAAAGATCAATAGGTTTAAACAGCCATTGACCTTAAGCTTCCAGTTAACTGAGCCACGTTTAAACTATGCTTACATAACTTAAAATAACACAGTTTAACACGTGATCAGTTAATCGATAACTTGGTTTTTTAAGGTGTAGTTAGATACCTACGTTAGATTATATAAGCACTATTTTATGTCATTTTTATATCTTCAAACTCGGTCTCGGGTTCGATTCCCGGGTCGGGCAAAGTATTACTGGGTTTTTAAATATTCTCAGTAATAGCACGGAGTCTGGTATTGTGCCCAGTATATGGATTCCTTACCGTCAGGTGATTTTTTTTATGTCATAAGCCGGTAAACGAGCAGACGGATCACCTGATGGTAAGCAATAGGCGTCGCCCATGGACACCAGGAACACCAGAGGCGTTACAAGTGCTTTACCGGCATTTTGGGGATTAGGAGTTTGAGGATTGTTGGGGATTCAGGGATTGGGGAGATTGGGGAAGAGGAGGGTAACGTCCGTGTTCTCTGTCTATTATTCTCTCGAAGTTTTTGCACAACCTAGTAATAAAACCTTAGAATCTGTAACACACACTGTTCTTTCGGTCTCAAAACCAAAAGGACAATGAATCTAATCACTTTTAAAGGCTCTCAAAGCCAAGTAAAGTCTGGACTTAACTACCACTGCAATAATGGAAATTATTACCAAGTAAATAAGGTACATAATGGCTTGGCAAGTCTATTAAATTGCGATTTTATTGCTTACGCCCTGTAGATGAACTATCACGGTTATTTGCCTTGAAGGTGTAAGTAGAGTGTACATTTCTTAGGTACTTTTACATAAATAGGATCTATGATCTCCATTTTATCCTAGGATCTAGGTGAGCCGCGGAAGACTTAACGTGTTGCCGGGGCTCCGGCTCGCAGTGCAGAAGTAGGAACGGGGTGGTTTTTAGTCAGTAAGAGTCTGACACTTCCTCTAGCCTCACCCGGGCGGGAGAAGTCAATGGATAACTTTCCCCCCTCAAAAAAAAGGTAAGGTAAATCCAGGTAAAAATTTTATCATGGCATGATGACGTCAGTATTAATACATGAAGGAATTTAGCCTCAATGTAGGTACCTAAGCTCACCCAGTTCCAAGTTTTCCTAATGTTTGTCATATTTTCTGGAATGTTCCTTCTAATGACCTTAGACGTTCAGACTCAGCGTACCTACAAGGTAAATTGATCCTTCATGAGTAGGTAAGTATAAAAGAAGTTGGTAAGAATACCTCCCATGAAAATAGCTCGTTATTCAAAGAAATACAAAGGAATTCTTCGTGGAAAGCACAAAAGAGGTCGCACACACGACAGGCACAAAAAGGAATAATTCATAATGACGAAGAAACGAGTCTCCTCGCTCCTTTCCTTGGTATGACCTAAAAGATTTCCAGCATTGCAGCTTATGGCTGAAAATCAGCTGCAATGCGCAACATTCAAACTAGCACAAGAACCACAAGGTAAAATACTACAAAAGTCATTCACCCTACATTATATACGCCTCACAGTTCACCTACAACTTGATTGTCTGTCAAATTATAATCGCCATTTTCATCTCGATACCATTTTGACGTTCCCTAAAAAAATTAGAATCTTAACAACACAATTATGCGCATGCAAACAAAAATATACACATCCAACGTCCGCCCCCAATCAACAATCATTATTTTGTAATTTTACGACTTAAATGAAGCAATAGAATCGATGAAAAGACAATTTAGAATCGAATTATCACGCAGAAATGTCACATTTGGCGCGTAAACGTCAAACGTCAAGCGGCCATCTTGCGCGAGCTTATTGGCGCGCCGTGTAGGGTTGTTTCAGCGACGAACGGGCGGACGTATGTCTGTCTCTGTCGCGCTCCGTTACATAATACGGAAATGGGTGAGCAGTGTTAAGTTTTGTGGCGAGTTCCGCATGCGGCCACTGTCGGGGGGTAGTTATTGATTTTTCAAGGAGTTTGCGGCAGTCGCCTAGCACGCCGGTGCCCAGCGCGAAAAACACATCCGAATCGCGCTCGCGTTTTTACAAAAAACACAATTATTTATCCTAAATTCTAATATTACAGTTAAATATACCGAGATCAGTTAAATTCGTTCTATATTCTGTTATTTGTGTGGAGAATTTTTGTGCTGGAAAACTCATTTCGTAAGTGTTATACGTTCAATTGTCACTTTTTATTCCAAGGCACCATTTTAATCACGTTTTATGTGTCATTGGAGGCTTTTTATTGTCTTTTTCTGTGTTTTATTTTCATTTCGACGGTGATTTTAGTGCTTAAAGCATGTTGTGTTATGTTAATTGCAATCAGCTGTTAGGCGCACCCGTGCATTTAATTAAACGTCAGAATGTCGAAAATATTTACGTTTGATGCCATATGTATTTTCTGTGTTAAAAATTACGTAAATCAGTATAAAAAAATTTGACTCACCAATTTGTCTAGGCCGAAATTCGGCCTCAGCAATCTAGTCCGAACCATAGCGTGGTGCACGTTCATTTTTAAATTTTATTATTTTTTTCTTTTAATGTAATGGCACGTTCAAATCACTCGCACGTCAGTCGTCCACTGATTAAATCTCAATGATGCATATACACTGCTGGGTGTATGCGAAGCTCAATATTCTCCTACGAATCAATAGTACAATGTATAGTGTGGAGGACAGATCTTGGTGAGGCAGAGATGTATGACGTCACAGATCGTTAGTGACACCATGATGACGTCATGTGTCCTTGTTCTCGTCCCTCGAGATGCCTTCGGGTCTAAAGCTCATTACTTTTAATATGGCTGGATTAATTTGCAGTATTGGAATATTAATGCCCTTGCTATGTGGTTCCAGTTTACGAGTCTTATCCCTTATTGGATTAGGGGAGATCCAATTGATATTCTTTGGGGTTTATATACTCTTTATAAGGCTTGGTAGTTGATGTAGGGTGAGGGCTCCAACTGTACCCAATCGTTTCAACCAGCAACTTCATGTTTTTATGAAAACTACACTAAAACTGCTTTGTACCTGACCTGCTTTCCTGCTTACCCTCATAAATAGCACAATAGAAGGGTCCCTCATTACAAATTCAGGAACCTCTTACTCCTGAGGTCAGCTAATGGTATCCGTAGATCAAGATAAGATTTAGTACGATGGACCTAACCCAAGATAAGTGTACTCGTATTTTAGAACCACAACAGTTGCCAAACTGTCAATTTCAACATCAAATTGATGTGAAAATTGCCAACTAAAAATCTAAATTTCTTTGGTTATATATATAATTAATTTTCTTAACTTAGTCTGTGGTTTTTAAACCATATTTATACATAAACCTCACACCTTTATAAGCATCATAAACATAAAATACATGAAGTCATCTTCATGTGTGCAGTATGAACTTAGGTACTGCTGGGCCGGCTCCACCGTAGTTATACCACAGCTACATAGAAAACCGACGTGAAACAACGCTTGCGTTGTGTTTCATCGTGTGAGTGAGGTTACCGGAGGTCTAATTACCCCCCCCCCCTCCCCAATATCCCAAATCCCTGAATCCCCAACAATACACAAATTTCTAACCCTCAAAAGCCTCTGGTGTTCCGTGTATCCATGGGCGACGCCGATTGCTTACCATCAGGTGATCCGTCTGTTCGTTTACCGGCTTATGCCATAAAAGAAAAATTATATATATATTTTTTTTTAATCTGGCTCGGGTTCTCTATCATGCTTATTGTATACCGTTATGTATACAAGATCTTACAGGGTCCATTAGCATTATCATCAACACCCACCCATCAGAACCCCTGAACTATGAGTCTCCTCTTTAGAAGAGGCATTGCAGACGGGTCGAAGATCGCAGTTTAAAAAGATGAGGTTCTTTTTTATTTATTTATTTAATCTGACTAACATTATAAATGTTAAAGTTTCTGCCTGCCTCGTTGGCCGAGTGGTCGCAAGGGCGACTGCCGGGCAAGGGGTCTCGAGGTCGATTCCCAAGTCGGGCAAAATATTATTGGGTTTTTTAATAAATCACAGTAGGTAGTTTCTTTGTTTTTTGTTTTATCATTATTGTTCTGTATTCTCTATAAAGTATCTGTATTTATTTCTTATTAATTTTTTATTATTTTTGTATTTGTGTGCGTACCTACTGTCGAATAAATGATTTTTCTTTCTTTCTTGTTTTCTCAAACTTTCATGAGAAACTTCAATTATAAGCTAAAACAAGTTCCTCAAAAATACATAAAATAGTATTCAAATTGCCTGTAATTATCGAACCGACTTCCAAAGTCTGATGGTTTGTGAGGAATTACTGAAATTTCAGGCCCTCCCAACACTCATTATGGAGGTTTTTTCAGTTTAATTTGTTTGTACCTATTGAGTAAAAGCATGAATGTTTCTGTAAAAAATAGGTATTACAAAATATGACTGCCTCGTTGGCCGAGTGGTCGCAAGTGCGACTGCCGGGCAAGGGGTCTCGGGTTTAGTCCCGGGTCGGGCAAAGAATTACTGGTTTTTTAAATTCTCAGTAGTAGCACGGTATCTGGAATTGTGCCCGGTATATGGCAATAGGCTCACCCCTTACATGGGAGGGACTCACAACATAAATAGTGAAAAGTGGGTGTTACATTGTACAGTGGCATTAAGTGCCGTAATATGCACGTCTACCTGTCCCTTCGAGGATAAAATGGCGTGATGTAATGTTATTAAGATAAGTGGTAGAATTTTTAACAAGCCACTGAGTTTGATAGTCATTGCTCGGTGAACCGGTAACCCGCCCAGTTATCCGAAATATTCAGCCGAATGAAAAAGTCCCTGATCTCTGATATTGTACTTTTTCTTCCCAAGCCTAAAGTACCTATTATTGTAAGAAAGGGTAGGCAGAGAAGGAGTAATTATCACCACTTATTAGTTGGTTGCTTGAGACACTAATATGAATACCGAGTCGAGATTTTAGATTCATAAATAGGTCTAAATATAGAATATAATAGAATAAAATAATCTTTATTGTATTAATAATCCACTCACACACACTATTATACAGTCAAATAACAGACATAAATAAATAATATAAATAATAATGGGTACAATGGCGGTCTTATTACTTATAATGATTATATATATATAACTAGCTTATGCATGCTTCGTACGCGCAATCCCGTTTTCTTCCGTTCCCGTAGGATTTTCAAGATTTTTTTAAGTCATAAGAACCATCTCCTAATAATAACAAATACAACGAAAAAAGAATTAGTGAAATCGGTCTAGCCAATCACGTGTGATGACGTGACCAAAGGAAAAAGGGGTATTCATATTTATATACATATTTACTAGCTTCTGCCCTCGACTTCGTACGCGCAATTCCATTTCTCCCATTCCCGTAGGATTTTCTGGATTTTTATCTATTATAAGAACCTTCTCCTGACGATAACAAACACAACAAAAAAATCAGCCAAATCGGTCTAGCAGTTCTCAAGTTATAGCGTGACAACGGGAAACGGGTTTCATTTTTATATATATAAGATATAGATTGTGAAATGTCTATAAAAACACATATAATTATATCATAAATTCCGGAATATAACAGTCTTATATTAATAGTCCCACTTAATACAAATATCTAAAGCAACAAACAAAAAACATCATCACTTTACCATTAATATCAACTTTCAGTTTAGCTATCTATTTATGTTTACTTTATAAATAAGATCATAAAAAAATAATAAATATTTGATAGACTGATGTTGATTGAAATACTCTTCTATTTTAAACAAGATTCTGCCCGCGACTTCGTACACGCAATACCGGTTTTCTCCCGGGACAAATGACACGGGAAATTTTCCTCCGAAAATCCTACGGGTACGGGATTCCAGGATTCTCCAATCCTGGGATAAAAAGTATCCTTGTCCCTTTCAGCGCAGTGGGCTCGAGTCTCTGTGCCTGGTCCACGGTATTAAGCTGAGCCTTTTGCGCTACGACGCACCATAGGCTGTTTTGTGTGTTCCTGAATTCTTATTGTGTGTCATAGAAAAATAAATGGGTTTACTTTCTTCCTTTCTTCTTCTTTCTTTAAAAGATTGGGGGAGAGAAATTTTTATACATCAGATGTTAAATCGAAAGAAGACAAATACATATCTGTAAAAACCGGCTTCAAATCGGGTCAATTGTATTTATGTGATGCACATACATACAAGCAGACAAACAAAAAAGACTACCCACATTTTTGGGTGCACATAGCACCCAAAAATGTGGTAAAACCCATATAGTAATTATTTTTTAAATATCTTTAATGATCTTTTATCCTGTGAACTGTCAGGATAGTGTTGAAGAGATATCTTTTCAGGAAATCACATAACATAACATCACGCCTATTATTCCCGAAGGGGTAGGCAGAGGTGCACATTATGGCACAGTACAATGTAACACCCACTTTTCACTATTTATGTTATGAGTCCCATGTAGTAGGGGTGAGCCTGTTGCCATATGTCGGGCACAATTCCAGACTCCGTGCTACTACTGAGGATTTATAAAAAAACCCAGTAATTCTTTGCCCGACCCGGGAATTAAACCCGAGACCCCTTGCCCGAGGCAGTCATATTTTGTAATACCAAATTTTTACAGAAACATTCATGCCTTTACTCAATAGGTACAAACATTATAGTACCTAAATTGAACTTGAAAAAAAAAAACCTCCATAATCAGTGTTAAGGAGGGCCTGAAATTTCAGTAATTCCTCACAAACCATCAGACTTTGAAAGTCGGTTCGATAATTACAGGCAATTTGAATACTATTTTATGTATTTTTTAGGAAATTGTTTTAGCTTCTAATTGATGTTTCTCATGATATTTGTTTCTGATAAGGACTGACAGTATAAATTGAGTTATTATTAGTAATAACAACATCATGATTATCCCTCACAACTCACTGACATTGAGTTTTCATAGTCATTTTAAGTCATCATCATCTGATGCTGAGCATACTGCTTATAACCTGAAATTATAAGTCAAATTGACTGTTAGATGCTGTTAATCTTAGATTGCACGGTTGGCGTGGTGGCTGGACCACCAGCTGCCGCGTAACGTGTTGTGGGTTGGATTCCCGTACGGAGCAACTCTTTGTGTGGTCCACGAATTTTCGTTTCGGGTGTGGGTGTCAAGTGCAGTGAAATTGCA